TATATATATATTTATTTATTTATTTATGTATTTATTTATTTTTTGATTTAATTATTTATATAGTTATATATAGTTTGTCTATGCACAAACCCTATCACTCCTCACCCCGCAGACGCTGCACCCCGATATCCTGCGAAAGCAAAAGCCCCAGACCTGGCATCATGTCTTCCTCCCAACATACGGCCGGGCCGAGGCGGACGACGCGCAGCGTTTAAAATTAAGCTAATGCCGGTGTCGTCATTTCCATTACGGGACATCAATACAAGTATCCGGATGAACCTTTACACAACTCCTGCTCGTATACTTACTGTACTAATCTGCGACGCCCTTCGAGCACCAGATGAATGAATCTAGCAAATGCTCTTTACTTCGGCACGTTTTTCTTCGGCACGGTGCCGTCACGCACACTTCCTGGACTTCCTGTCGGTAAAGATGAGGAGGTGTCGGCCTGGGGACTCGTACTGCGTCTTGAAGTACGCCCGGGTCCAGTGCTGCATGTAGTCCACAAAAACCGTCTGAAGCATAAAGGTGTCGGCAGTAGTACGGTCCTCCATCCAGTAGACATCCCAGGCGTTAGGATACGCAGCATGAAGCTTGTCCCTAAGGCATCGGGAATCATAGGGCTCCTCCTCGCATTCCCCGTCTGCTAGGACACGGCGGACATAGTTCAGCATGTTGTCGGACATGGTAGTGGTCGATCTGTGCAAATGGAGTCCTCGAACTGGGTCCTGGACCTCATGCTGATTCGCTGGGCCGGAGCGGACGGCTGAAGCGCTCCACGATGAGATGGACAGCAATAGCATGAAGGACTTCGACATGATCAAGAACCCGGAGGGCTTGGAATCCAATGTATGTGGATTGAGCAGAAAATGCTACACAACACGTCATCTGCTGCACAAGTTGGACTGCTTTCTGTTGCCGGCCCTTGCCGAAAGTGTTTGTAGGGAGTTCCCCCCCAAACAGGATCCCCGCTCGTGTCCCAGAACCAGTATGTCACTCTCAGCCCTAAACCCTAAACCCTAAACCCTAAACCCTAAACCCTTGACCGATAACCCGGAGGCTCGAAATAGCCCGAAGAGGTGAGGCCTTCGGTAGTTCAGGTTCGGGGTTTAGGGTTGAATCTATCTTAAACCCAGACCCTACACCCAGTTTAGGGTTGGTTTAGGGTTTAGGGTTTAGGGTTTATAGGGCTTATAGGGTTTAGGGTTTTGGGTTTAGGGTTTAGCGCAGGGTTTAGGGCTGAATCTATAAATCCGGAGAAGGCATCAAAGCCTCTAGGTAGGCCAAAATGAAATGTTGACATACCCATAGGCCCCTAAGTAGTTCCTTGTTGTGGTTCATATTTAGAATCCTATACCCAAAAAGGAACTACTTAGGGGCCTATGGGTATTCTCCCATAGGATCTAATTGACGAACATATTTTCTGACGTGCGAAATGCCACCAACCTAGGCACAATGAGGCCTGGGATGTGCGACCCGGACTGTTGAGGACTACACATTTGCTGGAGACACCACTTCTTGAGCAGCGCGGTGTCGCGCTGCGCCAAGGCAGCGGCGCTGTTTGTTGGCAGTATCGCAAAGGGAGCCATGCACCCTAAACCCTAGACCCTAAACCCAAAACACGATACTACCCTAAACCCTAAACGCTAAACCCTAAACCCTAAACCCAAAATTTTGCTCAGCAAGGATTACCCAGGCATACTCGACAAACATGTCTGAGGGACTCGAGAAGAAGCCCCCACAAAGTATTGCTGACATGGCCATTCCGCAAGGACGCTTCACAAACCACATACGGGACTCGACAGTTTCAATAGGTGAATAGGCTTCTTGGGTATATGTTAGTGTACGTATAGGATTGAAGATTTTAGAGTGTTTGGAGTTGGAATAGATGCTTATACATATATACATACACACACATATATATATATAGATTGTGTATATCATGTATATGCACATCTGTGTATGTATGTATATATGTATATATGTATATATGTATATATGTAAATATGTATATATGTATATATGTATATATGTATATATGTATATATGTATATATGTATATATGTATATATGTATATATGTATATGTGTGTGTATATATATATATGGACTGTCAAGTTATTCCAGTGTATCTACCGAAAGCGCAGCCGCTGGATTCAGTAGTCGACTGAAACATCTGCAAGTCAGGCAAACTGACCGAGGCCCCTCCACGCAAACTCCTGAACTCGAAGCCCTAGCCCAAAACCCCTTAAACCCAAAAATTGCTTACTCAGAACCCTCTAAATCCTCAACACCCGAGCAACCCGACACGAATTCTGAAACCCCTAGAAGCTTTGAAAACCCCCAAAGCCCCTGAAGCCATAATCTGGATCCATGCCTCTTGCCAGAATGCGCAGATCTTCCTCAAGTTTAAGGTATATGGGTTAATGTAGCGGCCTTAATTATTATTACAAGAAGGAACCCCCAAAATAGTGTTGGCAATTCTTCTCAGGCCCCCTTACGGGCATGAGGATAATGATGTTCCAGTTCTACCGGAAGGCTACCGGAAGGCTTGAGGGCTCCGGATGCAAGTCTTAAGGCTTTCGGACTTGAAGTTTAGGGTTTAGAGGGTTTAGGGTTTATAGGGCTCATAAGGTTGAAAGGGTTTTTTAGGGTTTATAGGGCTTAGGGTTTAGGGTTTAGGGGTTTACAGGGTTCAGGGCTCCGCGGATTTAGGATTTAGGGCGTAGGGTTTGGGATTCAGGGCCTACCCGCACCCTAAAGAACCTTCCCTGTCAGGGTTCCCTATTATGATTCCCTTATGCTCTCTTCTCTAATAGCCAGGCCCAAAAATGTTCGAACTGTTTAGGATAGACCTAATATATAGGGCCAAAAAGTTTAAAGTTCTCCCATTGGATATCTACGTATAGCATCTTTTGAAAATAGGTTCAGGGTGTGTAGAGTTTAAGGTTTATGGTTTAAGGTGTACTGCGTCCCGTATAACAAGACCTTTAGAAATTAGGTTACCCAGACACTCCAATATCCTTTAATTAAGGAATGTACCTTAAGTCTCACTAGGGTTCCTATTGTAATTTAAGGGTATATTCCTTTAATTAAGGGATCTTGGAGTCTCTGGTTATGCAGAGCCCAGGTCCCCTTTTTGGGTCCCCACTATAGTACGGCACCCTTATAAACAGGACTCCCCAAGAGGGGCCCTAACTTTAGAGAACTACCCAAATTAGCAAACCCCTATAGTACCCTTATAGGAGCCCTACAGAAACCCTTCTGGATCCTTTTAAGGAACCCCCAAGAGGGGCCCTGGAGAACTATAGAAACCCCTATAGAAACCCAAATAGATCCCTTTAAGGAACCCCAGGTTGAACCAAAAGAGGCCCTAACTTTTAGAGACCCACCCAAATAGAAACCCCCATTATAGCACCCTTATATTATAGATAGAAGCCCTTCTAGAAACCCAATCTGGATCCCTGTAAGGAACCCCCAAGAACGGCCCTAACTTTAGAGAACTACCCAAATTCTGTTCTCCAGAGCCCAGGGTGGGGTTTCAGAATCCCCCCCCAAGTCCTGGAGCCGACCTCGGGGGGGGCCTAAGCCCTAAACCCTGAAGCCGGTTTAGGCTTTAGGGTTCACAGGGTTTAGGGTTGA